ATCTTCACGGCTATCATGTGCCGATAGCGCTGGCTCTACTGTATAGAACATCAAATTTGCGATATTTTTTGTGAGAAGTCGGCCGAGAGAGTGCCTGGTTCGGCTGGTCAGCTACAGGAAAAAGAAATAAACCACCAGCGAAGTAAGAGCCGCGCTCGACCCATGGTCACGTGGTTAAAGAAAAACGTTGAACGTCGACCTTTCCTACGAAACATGGGGAGGTATACAGTTTTTGCGCCTTCAAGTTTGAACCGTTAGCTACCGTTTCTTTTGATGTCAACTAGGAGATGGCCACGTTGTGAGTTCGTAACTTTATATGAAATTCGAAAGTAAAGATATGAAGGATCATATATTTGAACTGCACTGATAACGCTGATAACTTTTTTTTCTGTAAACAGACACGAGAGATCGTAGAAGTTATGTAGGCAACTTAGGCAGCTGCGAAAATCAATAGCAGCAAAAAAAGATGACAAGTTCTCTTGGAAAAAGAACATTACGCTTAACGCGAAATTAAAATTGTTATAAATATTGCAAGTAAAACACGCCCATGTTACGTTCGGCTATAGTGTTTGTAAAACTCTCAGGAAAACTGACGCGCTTTTAGCGGAAAACTCCGTTTGATTTGTATACACGCTTGCGGGGAAACGAACTGATAAGATTTAATTTATGACTTGTTTTGACGCTTTGCGCTTAAAACACTCGGCATGCTCGAAAGCAACCTTGTTAGTTTTGATAACATACTTTCGATGCGAACTCGGTTTGTGTAAGGAAAAGTTAAATTTAAAATCTAAAGAAGTTAAGATATAATCAGCGAAAGAAACTAAATGAACACTTCAGTGGCTTAAATTCTCAAGAGTGGTCTGAATATTTGATATCTTCTCGCGTGCGATACGAGTAGCCGGATTGTCAACCACACAGGTGATAAGCATACGGAAAATATGTATGAGAGAGACTGTATTGATGTACTTGCAAATTCTCCTAGCGATCATTTTAAGATTGTATTGCAGTCAGTTAGGAGAATAAGAGTGACCTAAATATTTGATATTTTCTCGCGTGCAATACGAGTACATTGTCAACCGCATAGGCGATAAGCATACGGAAAATATATATAAAGCAGGCTGTCTTAATGTACTTTCAAATTCTGAAGACAAAAAGAACAAAGATTGTCTAGCAGTCAGTGGAGAGAATAAACATTTCCAGTGTGCGGAAACTCTCAGTGTGGTGGAAAAAAGTTATTGAGCTGTTCTAATAAGTCGGAAATTTTAATTGATGCCAAAATCACGTTTGTATGTTCAACACTCGTGTACATAAATTTTAAAATGGTCGAGTTAAAAGGGAATCAAATATATTCAACGCACGTGGTCTTTGATGAAAGTGATCTATACGAAATAAATGAAAAAAGTTAAATATTAATGTATTGTAGAAAGCGTTGAAAATGAAGTCAAAACCTTGGCATATCAAGATAAACTTGGGAAGTGCTTTATACGATGTATAAAATTAATATATCGTCTTGAAAACAAACGTTAATAAACTTTATTGCATTGTTTTCGGTTTGAAAAACATCAACTGCCTAACATGAAGTAGTTTTACGATTGACAACAGTGATAAAATCAATTTAACATGTTTAAAGTGGAATGTGAGTCGATATGGATCCCACAGTCACCGCATACACTGATCTGCCCTTGAAACGAATAACGAGTAAACAGAAAATAACAACTTGATATCCTTACCTTAGTATTTCCTGTTGTAGTTGAAGAAGATGGCTTTCGTCTGTAAAAATAAGGAAATTGAGATTCTCGCGGAAGAGCAATATTTAATATAGGAACTGTAAATTTCTTCGCGCGCATTCTTAAATGTATTACGATCAAGATGGACTGTGTAGATAGCGAAAATTTCTAGCGATAGTCAGTCTATTTCAAACTGGCCTAAGGCTTGAAATTGCTTCTAATTCAACAGAGAAAGAAAAAAAAAAGGTGATGAAATTCCCCCTAAGGAAGTAGTAAATAAATTGATTTCTGTAACACGTATCTATCCGGATTATTTTATTCCGAAGCGTGTTAAAATGGATCAGACATTTCTTTTAAAACCTAAATTTACAGAATGCTTAAGGCCATAGCTTGACCTTCTCTTTTCATATGCAAATATTTTGAAGTGCATAGAGAGGAAAAAACTCTCAAAAATTTGACGAGTTTTTCGACATATACCACATTACTTTTTCTCCTTTTTCCTGCGCTACTATTTGACTTTCGATTGTTGTTCAAATAAACGCCACTTAAGTTTTTTTTGTCTATGATCTAGCCCGATCAATCTGCAATTTAAAGAGACAGTCAAGACGACAACATTTAAAACCAGCTTTGAAGCGCAAATGACCAAAACTGATTTCTTTGTCATGTATCGATGAAGAAGTAAACGCATCGTAGAGAGATAAATTAAAACTTGCCTGGTTTTAAAAGTAGCAAGATCACTGCTATAAGGTTTATGTTGTCGTTTTCCACATAACAAGTTCAAACGTGAACCCAACCTTAAGAAACACTAAAAAAAAGGCACCCTACCGTGCCACTGCATCTAGCACCTGCTGTGATACTTACATCAATTCCTTTCTTCTTTGACTTCGTTTAATCCTATCAAACCGAAGCAGTGGTATCTCCGATGATGTAAAATTCGCTGAGGAGTTAATAAACAAAAAATAGGAACAACGGGATGAAACGCCAACTTTACAATCGCACTCCTTAAACCGACCGCTCGCTGTCGCCAGGGAACGCGCGCGAGGAATATAATTGAACTTTTGTTATCAAATTATGTCCTCAACAGAGGAATAATTATCATATACAAAACAACACGAGAACTTGTCAAAGATTAGTTTACAAATGCGAGAGATAT